GTGCTGTACCTTCGCGCAGCTGGACGCCTACTCCAACGCCGTGGCCAACCTCTTCCTCCAGCTGGGCTTCGCGCCAGGCGACGTGGTGGCCCTCTTCCTGGAAGGCCGGCCCGAGTTCGTGGGGCTGTGGCTGGGGGAGGCTCGAACCCTTGGCCTTCTGCCTGGGCACGTCGGGCGCCAAGGCTTAGATCTTTGGTGCAGAAATGGCAGCTGGTGACACCAGGCACAGGGATCAGGTGGGCGGGGGATCTTGGGCTGGGGGGGAGGTCCTGGGCCCGGACCTCAGGAGGGGGCCCTGCAGGTGTGTGGTTCGAGGCTGCCTGGGGCAGGGAGCTGGTGCATCCCAGAATGGGCCCTGCGTGGGCGCGCCCTTGACTCAAGTATGGTCACAGCCGTGGCGGAGGTGAGCGCGCAGCTGGGGAAAAGCCTGCTCAAGTTCTGCTCGGGAGACTTGGGGCCTGAGGGCGTTTTGCCAGACACTCACCTCCTGGACCCGCTGCTGCAAGAAGCCTCCACTGCGCCCCTGGCGGAAGCCCCTGGCAAAGGCATGGACGGTGAGTCTAGGGTGCAGGGACCCTGGGGATGCCCCCTGCCGGATCCCCTCGTGCCATGTCCAGGCCCTAACGCCTACGTCTCCTGCAGACAGACTCTTCTATATCTACACATCGGGGACCACGGGGCTGCCCAAGGCTGCCATTGTGGTGCACAGCAGGTAAGGTGCCCCGTGGGCGGCACCCCAAATTCTGAGAGCGGTCAGGGCTGTCTCTGCAGAACCACCTGCTCCCCCCAGCTCCTACGGGGTCGTAGGGCACCTTGACTCCAACCCGTTGGAACTCATGGCCCATCTTGGGACACTTCTCAGTGTCCGGGACCCTGCTTGCCCCCTCAGTCTTTTCCCAGGATCAAGCGAGTTAGTAGGACCTGTCTCAGCTTCTCCCACCTGGACCTGCTGCACCCCTTTTTGGGCCTCCTGCTGTCCTCAGTTCTGCCCCCTCAGAAGGTGTTCCAGCCCTTGGCAACCATAGGAAGGTTTAAAATCCTACATCAGGGCCAGCAGGTGGCATAGAGGTTAACGTGCTAGATTCCCACATGGCCAATGGTTCAAGTCCCAGACCTGGCAGCTTCCTTTCTCACTTTTTTTTCCTCTCTCTCTGGTCAAATAAAATAATAATAAAATTAAATTAAATAGGGTTCAAGAGGTGGTGTGGTGGTTAAGGGCACAGGATTCCCACAAGGCTGACCACAGTTCAAATCCCGGACCTGGCAGCTTGCTCTCTCTCTCTCTCCCCCTCTCTGGTCAAATTAAAAATGATAAAGAAAATGATTCTTTAAAAAATTAAATGATTATTTTTAAAATATTATATAATCATTTTAAAAGTAATTATTTTAAAAATAATTATGGTAATTATTTTTAAAAATATTTAATTTAACTTATCTATTTATTTATTTATTTATTTATTTCAATTTTATCATTGAGAAGCAGAGAAGAAGTGAGAAAGCAAGCCACCAGGTCTGGGACTTAAACCATGGTTGCCCGTGTGGGTGCTCAGTGCCTTAGCCACCACGCCACCTGCTGGCCCCTAAATAAATACTTATTTTTTTAAAAAATCATAAAATTCTTTTTTTAAGGATTTTTTAAAATTTAACTTTGTTTATTTAACTTGACCAGAGAGGGACAGAGTAAAAGAGAGAGAGGAAAATTTCATTTAAATTATAGTTTGAGT